TATTCTACTGGTAAAATATATGGACGTTGGAAAACAGAAATTTCTCTGTAAGACTATTCTGCTTTAAAAATAAGCAGAGTGGCCCCTCCCTGGTGGCACAGTGGGTTAAACCACAGCTAAAGCCACTAAGAAGCGAAAGCCACTTCAGCATGAGTTTGATCCCCGCCCCAAGGTGACCCACATGGTGTGACAGATCTCTCCTGACCTGCCACTGCTCCCCTCAGCAGTGTACTTTGTAAGTCAGCCTGTTCTGCTCCCGACTCTGTCTCTGGTGAAGCCTCTCACCGCCCCGTGCACCTCTGGCCTGTACCCCAGTTCTGTATGCATAAATAAATAAATCTTTTAAAAAAAAAATAAGCAGAGTACTGGGATTCTTTAGTTTTGTTTCTGTCCAGAAAACTTTTAGAAACAAACAATAACAAAACAAACCTAGGAAAAAGGTAATATATTCATCTCTCTCATTATATAAACGTGGAGTACATGTTACTAGATAATGGCACAACTAGGTGTTGTGTGCTAAAGCTTCTTTTTCCTGAAAAGCAAGAATGAATGAGAAAACTTTAAAACTTACCCACTGCTGTTACACTGCTTTGACGAAAAAACTGAGGGACCTTCCTAGCCACTTGTTAAGCATCCTGTCAGTTTTTATCGTGTAACAACTAAATAATAAAGAATTGACATGAGCACAACGACATAATTCCCAGTCCTAGAAACTACACAAGCAGTGGACATAAAGAGCACTTCCCCACATTCCCTAGAAGCTGACTGTAATTCTCTTCCAACAGGAGGTGCATATTCACATCAAGGTGTGTCTGGATTGTGATGTTAGTCTAGGACATTCAGTCTGATGTTTAAACCTAAGTAGTCTCAAAGTTTAGTTATTTTTAAGACTAGAGAACAGAACAGGTAACGTAAGTATTTGATCCCACTTTTGGTGTAAGAGTAAACTAAATAAATAGTGAATAAATAGTATTTCTACAGGCTTCTAACATGAGTAAACAAGTAAAGATGAAGCAGTTCTTGCAGATATAATCAGCACTATCAAACAGAAGTAAGCAAACTATAGTCCACTTCCTGTTTTAAAAGTTGATTAGAACACAGGCATGCTCACTCATTTGGTATTTGTTTATGGCTATCTTAGCATGTATCTTCACATTATAAAAGCAGAGAGGAGTAGCTGGTTGTTAAGAGACCACATGGCTATAAAACTGAAAATATTTGGCTCTCTACCCTTGCTCAAAAGTATAAAGAGAACATTTTATGTTTGATCTTGTGGTAGGGAGTAGATCAGTAAAAGTAAAGTGAAAAAAGTAGATTTAGCTTGAATCACCAGGTTGAATAAAATAGTGTGGCTCCCCAAAGTCCCAATTAAAGAGAAGATGGGATTAATAAAAATGATCTCATGATTGCCAGACTACTAAAAGTGATACTGAATTAAATACAGAAATTCATGGCACTCTATATCTATTTATTTTTTTTTTTAAAGATTTATTTATTTATTTGTACAGAACTGGGGAAAAGGCCAGAGATGCAGAGGATTCACCAGAGACAGAGCGGGGAGCAGAACAGGCAGATCGATGAAGTACACTGCTGAGGGGAGCAGCGGGCGGGTCAGGAGAGGTCTGCCACACCATGTGGTCGCCTCCGGGGCAGGCGGGAATCGAACTCATGAGGAAGTGGCTTTAGATTCTCAGTGCCGTGCTTTAACCTGCTGCGCCACCAGGGAGGGCCTCTATATCTATTTAATTTGAACTAATTCTGAGGGACTTCTCTGTATTTTTTCTGCAGTAAATTAATGCTTATTCTGATCTCATTCATACGGGGGGGGGGGGGAGGGGAGACAGCTGTCACTTCTGAAGCACGACCATAAACTGTACTTCAAGGTATCTGCTCTCTACTCCTGAGTTTCAATTTACAAGGAAAAAAAAAAAAAGAGTCCCGTTAGGAGAGTGGGATGCTTAAAAGCAGAAAAAATAGTGTGCTGTCCAAAGTAGACACTAATAATCAGCCCTGACTTAGGACCACTCTTTCTTTGATCTGAGCTAAAAGAGACCTTTATGATCCGAAATCTCAACCAAGCCCTTGCTTAATATAGCCTTTTTTAAAAATCTAAAAATATTTTTAAAGTAGTTGGCATATTAATAATCAGCAGGAGTAAGGAATTATATGAGCTGTAGTTGAGACACCCACAGTTTCCTGCAGCTAAAATTCCATCAAGAACCCTCTTTTTTGACCACATACCCCATTCATCTAACTTCAGAACTCTTCCACTATACGACATAAAACTGTCAGTCACCAGCAAAATCTCCTAAAGGTCCTTAATATCTTTTCAAACATTACATTCACCTTTCTGTCTTTAATAAACCTTGTTTCCCAATGTCTAAAAGAAAACTATCTTAGCAGATAGACCTGTTAGTGAAAGAAATGTTAATTTGAGTCAAAGTCACTGAAATTTTGGAGTGATCTGCTATATGCAGCATGAATAGCAACAGCTGATTATCACAGACAGTGGTACTAGTAGAGTGGTGCCATCTCCAGCCCTAACATATGGGGCACTGGCTTTGAGACTAGGTAACAAAAGATAGGGAAATACTTAAAGGAGCTTGAAAAATGAAGATACACTATGTGATGGTAAGCAGTCCCCAGCAACAATCCAGAAGATAGAAAACACAGAAAATGAAGTTCTATCAGTGATGTCCTAGTTTTTACTCATATACATAAGAGTAGGAGAAATAAATGTTGATTGATACAGGCTCTTGAAACCTGGGGGTTATTTACTATACAACATTACTGTAGCAATAGTAGAATTTCAAGGCCAGTCACTCCCTCATCTAAGAGACACTCATCTATCACATATATTGTTTGCAATACTTATCTTACGGGTCTCCCGGTTTACATTTTTCCCCTGCCATAATCTCTTCTGAACAGAGGAGCTATAATAATTCTCTAAGTCTAAAGTCAGATTATGTACTTTTTTGCTAAATCTCTCCAGTATATCTCTAGGTTACACAGAGTAAAAGTCCTGAAACAATCCCCTACCTTGATTCCCTGCTAGCTCATTCTACTCTAGTCATACTGTCATCTTGTTGGACCCTATAAACATTAAAGATGGGGGTACTGGCCCTCCCTGGTGGCACAGCAGTTAGAGCACAGCACTAAAAAGCTAACGCCATTTCATCATGAGTTTTATCCCCACCCTGGAGGTGACCACATGGCATGGCAGACCTCTCCTGGCCTGCCTGCTGCTCCCCTCAGCAGTGTACTTTGTCTGTTTGCCTGTTCTGATCCCCATTCTGTCTCTGGTGAACCCTCTCACCACCCCTGTACCTCTGGCCTATACCCTAGTTCTGTATGCATAATAAATAAATCATTAAAAAAAAAAAAAGATGGGGATACTGCAGTCTTTGTGCTTGCCATTCTACCACTGAGAATGCTCCTGGCACCACATATCCAGCTATCCATAATTTCTTCAGATCTTTGCTCCAGAGATATCTTTGTGACCTTCACCCACCCACTCACCCCAGACAACCTGACTCAAATGCTTAGAGATTACTAAAATAAATGCTTGTTTTAATTATAGCACTTATCATAAAGGCCACTAATATATAGTCACTGGCTCTGGAAGAGAACGAAAGCTCTACAAGATCAGGGATTTTTGTCATTTTCCTTTACAGCTGTCTCTGTAGTACCTACAATGGTTTCTGGATACACAGTAGACAATAAATATTTGTTGAGTCTGTGAATTCATTTTTAGGATAAGAAAAAGTCTATTTTATAATTTACATTTCTAAGGTATAAGATAATAAACCAGGCATTTAGATTGGAAAGGATGCGTTGCAAGGCAGCCAAAGATGCATTAGTTTTAATAAAATATTTTCTTACTTTGATAGTCTTTCTTCCTATCTTTTACAGCAAAGGTAATAAAAATAATTATATAAATACAATTATTTTGAATTCTGATCCTCATAATTTCTATGTGGATTGAAGCTCTTTTTTCAAAATTGGAGAGTTTTAAAAAAATATTTCTGATATACTATTAATATAGTATATTATATTAATATTTTCACCACCATAGAAGACTTTTATCTCCATGCAGTATATCTGTATGATATATGAACTTCCTGAAAAGTGAATAAACCATTTAACTATAATTCTTGTAACAAGAAACAATTCATTCAATCAGAATTAATGTCAATTTTTAGAGTAACAGTATATGAAGTTTCACTTTCCTCTTCCACAATCTTTCGTTTTTTTTGTTGGTATTTTTCCAGACTAAAAAAAAAAGTGGTTTTTAATTAATTACTACTCAAATGCTCAAATAGTACCACAATAACCACTTATAAGCCAATTTAGAATGGAAAGGAGAAAAACAAAAAAGGAGCTGACAATACTTGTAGTACAATGAAAGAACTCTGAATGGAACTCACCTACCATGCAGATAACATGTCAGTCATGACAATAAGTAAAAATTAAATTAAAACAAGTACTTCCTATTGTCATTAAATATACTAAAACCAATCTAGTCACCAGATCTATATAGGTATATAGCATGAAGCTTCAGCTAACCAAAATTAAATTTTATTTTAAATCAGTATATTTTATAATAAGGTTACTCCATAATTATTTTGCTAAGAGACCCTCTTTACCCCTGCCAACAAAACTAGTGGGGGAAAAGAAAAATACCTACTCTTCATTTAAAATGTTAAGTTGTCACAGTCTACCAAGCCTTTGAAGATTACTTTGATACCTCCTTTTTCCCCAAGGAACTCATTACTTGTATTTCAGTGAAGAGTGTACTGATAGACACTAGCTCCCTTGTTAAAGATGTCCTTTTTTTTTTGGGGGGGGGGGGAGATCAGAAAACTAATCCTACCATTTTTGAATTCAGTTAACATATTTTTTTTGCTTACTGATTTTTAAAAAAGCCATTATATTTATTTCAAGTAAAAGGTTTCAATTGTTTTGTAACTCAAAGATTGACTTGTATATTTTTTACTTACCTAGTCCTAAAAGATCGACAGTGGGCTCTGAAGCTTTTTTAGGGCTGGTACTTTTTTTAGGCTCCAAGTGTTGTTGATCTTCTTTTTTCTGCAGCTTTAAAGTAAATAATCAGATTTAACTTTTCTTAAATAAATTGATCAACTCTTTTAAACTCAATTACGTATACTTGTGACAAGGCTAGTATAATGAAGCATCCTATAATAAAGCCTAGAGTATTTATTAATATATGAAAAACAAGTAAATAATCACTGAACTTGCAATGACAAACCTTACATATACATGTTAAATCTTATGTAACTGTTCCTAGCCTTTTAATTACATGTTAAGTCTTATGTAACTGTTCTTAGTCTTTTAAATTCTTTATGTAAAACTGTGCTTGTTAAGAACCGCATTTCATATTACTTGCTAACTTCTTCAATGTGACCCTGTGAGCAGACATTGAGCAGGGCTTGGCATTTTTTTTTGCAAATCCCTTCATCCGCTTGATGATACTTGAGACACCACTGCCCCAAGAAAAACCTACTGAAATGTTACTTGATGAACTTCCCTGAATCTACACTTAGTAGTTACATTGTAAATACAATATTCTTTTAATTATTAGGAACTGATTGGTTATACATTATAAGCTATCTTTTTCCTCATTTGTACAAAGATGTAGTATACAAAAGGACTACACCTACTGATTCCCAACTTGAAAATCTACCTTTGTTAAATAAAGAAATTGAAATATTCATTATCAAACCATCCCCACAAGGTCACTTCTATTACAACCCAAAGAATTCATAACTCAGTTGTTATAAAAGTTCATTTTTTGGTTAAATAGTTATGTAGTTTCTAAGAATATAGATCTGTCCTTATGTTCTAGTCACTACTGTGACTGAGTTTCATATATTTTTTTAACCAATTAAGTTTACTATCACAGAGTTCAATTCTTTAACAACCTCTTCAAATACAGAATTACCAATCTGTAACGATATGTAATTTTCAGAAGTTTAACGTACTCCATCTCATTGTTTTTTTTAATGCTCAATATCAACATAGGTAAGACATGCCTTGCTTTAGGCAAAATAATTTCAAAGAAAGAACAGCTATAGTAACAAAGCAAGCAACTTATTTCAACTATTAGAACTTCCTTTTCTTCTCCCTTTTGTAAGTGGATGATTAGTGGTACTATAAACTATGTAGAAGAATCTAAGAATTAAGTGCATATAAGCACACAAACTTCAAATACTTTGGGGCAGTATTCCAGCAGCTTCCTAGGGCAGGTCAGCATTAATCACACATCTGCCAATATTACTCTGGATAATAAGACAAAAATGTCCACACTTATTAGGCACTAAAAATAATCTTTTATTTAAAACCTGAAAGCTTTAATGCTGAAAATAGTTTATCTGACTAAACACATTCATTTTGCAAATTAAGGCCTAGGTATTATATGCTAAATAGATATTGAGTAATTAAAACTTGTTTTCTATCTTACTGGTATAATATTTATTTCATCTTCTTCCATGAAAATAATCATGGAACAGAAACCAAACTTGTGAGGTATTCCTTCCTATTCACATTGTAAGAACCCTTTTCAGGGTTCTTTCTGAAAATATTTTTCTGAAAATTTAAATTCAAGTTGACTATGAGTTCTTTTCCCAACATATCACAACTGCCTTTTAAAATATTTCTAAACATGAAATTACCCATACATTGTTTGAAGAGGGGAAACAAATCTGTTGTACTTTGCAGAGGATAAGATAAACCTAAGATATAGAAAATATCACTAGTATATAAAGAACACAGTACTTTCAAGTTAAATTTTTTAAAACCTAAGACTGAAAATGTTATTATGTTGACAGGATTTTTGAGTATGGACATAGTAAAGTACATTAAGTCAGGACCTTAACTATTATAGTTACCTTCAATTCTATCACCCTTTTGATATTTCACATTCAGTTTGGACATATTTTGTTTAGTTGAACTGGGGTGTAGGCCAGAGGTGTGGAGGATAAGAGTATTCACCAGAGACAGAGTGGGGAGCAAAGTAGTAGAATAGCTCCAATTTACCATTAAAAATATCAACCTGAGGGCCCTCCCTGGTGGCGCAGCGGGTTAAAGCACCACACTAAGAAGCTAAAAGCCACTTCTGCATGAGTTCAATCCCCGCCTGCCCGGGAGGTGACCACATGGCGTGGCAGACCTCTTCCGACCCGACCCGCCCGCTGCTCCCCTCAGCAGTGTACTTTGTCGATCTGCCTGTTCTGCTCCCCACTCTGTCTCTGGTGAATCCTCTCACCCCCTGCATCTCTGGCCTGTACACCAGTTCTGTACAAATAAATAAATCTTAAAAAAAAAAAATCAACCTGAGAAAAAGGAAAAACATGTACAAGGCTACTACAGGGGTTCCAGGAAAAAGATAATGGTGATGATCGAGGATATTAACATTGAGGACAGAGAGAGGTGTTCTTGCTAAGATTTACTAACTGAAAAGATATCCTAAGGTGTTGAGGTAAAAGAGGAACTAGGTCAACTCAGATTTTTGCTTCAAGCAACTTGGCTGCCTGATGTGATTTCTTCAGAGTGGCAAGGCAACAGAAGAATCATGAATTCTGTCTTGGCCATGCTCAGTCTAAGACATTTGTTATATGGTGATGGCTAGAAGCCCACTGAATACACATATCTAGAATTCTTAGGTGAAGTTAAAATTAGACATGTAGATCTGTAAACCGTATAATTGAAGCTATGAAACTGTTTAGGACATTTAGACAGCAATTACAAAATAAATATGAATTCCTATGGAATTTGGGATATAGTGGAGGAATTGGAGCCAGTAATACTTAGAGAAACAGGCAATGTACTAAGAAAAAAAAAAAAAAAAAAGAATAGGGCTCATGGAAATCAAGACAAAGTGCTTTAAAAACATGGAACCATATGGAAAATTAATGAGAAGAACAGAAAAATGCCCTGGTTTTGGTACCATGGAGGTAACTGATGATTTGAGGCATAAATACATTGAGGAAAAAACTCTGAAGAGTGTAAACACTGACCAAACAATGACCCTTTCGAAAAGGGCAGTAGCTAGACATTATGAGAATTGGAGAAAATAAGGGAAAATGGAAAATTAAGAAAAAAACTTGAAGCAGAGGAGTGGATTAATAAAGTATGAAATGTTGGGTAAAATATCAAGAGCCCAGCTGGAAGAGCCAGTCTCTGGAAGAGAAGGACCTTTTCATCAAGAGGAAAGGGAGGACAAAAATACAGATCGACTGTTTTGGTGGTAAGAAAATTAGAGACTTAGTGTAATATTGCTACCTTTTTTTTCCAGTCAAACAATGAAGCAAAAACATTACTAAGAGGTTTTTGTAGAATGTCTAAAGAGGGAAGAGAAGCACTGAACAACTCATTGGAAAATTAAAAAGAACACATTAGTAAAGAGTAAAGTAATAGAACTACATCAAGCAACTCTGACTGGCCATTGGAGATTAGCAATTATGAGATGAAAGTGAGATTAGTGAACAGAAGTTTTGTTCAACTGAGGTCATGAAATAGGACAATAACTGCCAGATGGTACCACTGAAGGAGAGCATGATAGTCACAAGGAAATGAGTTCAATGAAACTGGGATTTATTGTTAGTTAAGCCATTTAAGTCATTCTATTCTATCATATCTTTAGCAATTTTCTCTTTTAAATATTAACTGGCCACTATCAAATACTCACTCAACAGTGGCATTGTATGTTATTAAAAGCACTTTTCCATCAACATGGCCTAATTGAAATCTTTTAATATTAGGATGACTCGCCTGTAGTAAATAGATAGTGAAAATTTTCCAGTAAGAACTTCTTATAAACAATTAGTGTGCATGTCAAAACATCAGAAAAGAGTAATGATATGAAATGCCATGAAGAAAGCAACTAAAATTAAACCAGTTGAACCAGAAAACAACATAACATACATACATCTGGAAATGCAATTTTCCTTCTTTCAAGGAATACTTGAGGAATTATGATGGACCAAGAAGAAGGAATTACCCAAGAGGGAATGAAACCTTATACTCCTGGTTGTAAATTCTAATTAACTTTTATGGAAGAAAAGAGCAAAAGGAAAGGTTGAAAAGAAATTACTGTTGGGAGACAAAATGTTTTCTCCCCTATTCTCATCTTTCTCCCAGACTGTAAGTCTGAAGTATTCATTGTTGCAATGATGTAATTTCTGGGATTAGTTTCAAAATAATATTGGGAGAGAGAATAAAGAAAGGTAAAACTGGGGAGAGCCAGAAGGAGACCTGAGGAAGCCACATGGAGCAGCAAGCATGTGAGGAAGAAACCGTGCTTGTTTCCTAACCCTGGACTGGTTAAGGCAGATGTGGGTGAGAGACCTGTAGGGAGGTGACTATGGCAGTGTTTATAGTGATTTTGATTTTGCTCTTTTGCTCTCAGATTTGTCTGGCCATTTCTGACCCTTTTCCATGGGTCCTGGCCAGGGGATGCTTTCAGGCTTGCTTTGGGCCAATCCCTTTTGGGTTGACTTTTGCCCACGAGGGGATGGGTAACTTCAGGTGTTTGATTTAGAAGTTATATTCTTTGTGTTCTATATTGTATATTCACTGTATTGAAGTCACTTTTCATTAAAAAAAAAAAAAGGTAAAACAAACAAAATTGGATAAGAGCACATAACTATTGAAGCTGAATTATGGGTATGTAGACATTTTCCATTTTCACTTGATTTTAGCCGAAAGGCTGAAAAAGAGATCATTTTCTGTTTTCATGTTAATAAAACTGGACTAAATTACATTTACAAATACAATACACTTAAAAATTTATTACAAAATTTATGATCTTGTAATAAAGGAACATTTATATAAATATTGTAAATCTTACAATGACAACTTTTCAAGAAAAAAAATTTATGATATAATTACAAACACTTCTGTTTCAGAGCAAGTTCTCAGTATTTTGGGGGACTTGAAATGGGTAAAGATAATCCTTTACTTATTTACAACTTTATTGGCTTCTACTTGGTTTTTAGGGAATTAAAAGCAGCTGGCAGTGCCAAGTAAATATTAAATTCATTTTCTGAGCATTTCCGTAGAATCAACAAACCTGT